GATAATGTTTCAAACATTTTCAAACATTAGGCTGGCGCAGCCGAACAGTAGCCGACCTGGCCGAATACCAGCCGACCGCACCCGACATTGCTCTCCGATGGTGGGAGTTCGACTAGTGTTTGGGAGGCTATATTAGGCTATTTGTGACAGGGGCTTTATGTATGAGACCTGATTATTTAGCACCTTTATTTAGTTAGTATTTAGAAAAGAGTGCAAAAGACGAATTAAGAGGATAAGTGGTGTCATTGCGATGTATGTATTTGTAACAAAATGTATTAGTGAAAAAATTAGTTAGAGGAGTGTTTTTTAGTAAAAAAATTCTTTGTTGACTAGTAAGAGAATTACGAGGTTGTATTAATTCTCTTACTAGTGAAAAATGAGTTAAGACCCCTCTTATTCATTTTCTTCACTAGTAAGAGGTAGTATTAATTATCGTATTGGTAAAAAACGAGTTAGAGGTGTGTTAACTCATTTTTCACTAGTAAGAGTTCGTATCAATTCTCTGACTTGTGAAGAACTCCAGAATTGAAAGACTCCAGCGAAAGACCCCAGAACTTGTTCCTACATCAGTGTATCAGACTCTACAATCAGACTGTTCATGTACTGTTCATGTACTGTTCATGTACTGTTCATGTACTGTTCATGTACTGTTCATATAAGTAGTGTATATATTTATGTATATATGTATGTAATAATGTTATGTGTTTATTTTAATGTAATGCTGTAAACACCAATGCCATTCAGGCAACATTATAGTTATATTTTGTATGTCTGCAATGTTGGTATGGAAATAAAGAATTGTAAGAAATCATTTAATAATCTCCCTACTGAAAAAATTAATTTGTTAACACAGGAAAAGGTGCTTAGCACGTGTTTGTATGGAAATACTTCTGACCTAAAAAAATTGGGTGATCGCGATCGGTCAAATTTTTGGTCACTCAGTGTCGCAGACTCTAGTGGAAAAGTTAATGACATCTGACCACTTGATATCGACGTCAAACGTTTAAAATCACATCATACATATCATATCATAGATAACGACATCTCTTAAAAATGTCATTACCTGTGATATGATATGTATCATATGAATTAATAGAGTTAACCTTTACAAATTAATGTAAGTGCGTGGTGGTAAATAAATAAATTTTACTTTATTATATGCATTAGCCCCATTGGGATAAGTACAGGTCACAAAAGATAAAATAAGTGTTTACAAATGTACACGCTAGAGTAAGCAGTATATTCGAATATGTAGATTCGGCTTGTCTCTTTCTTGTAATGCATAATTGGAATGTAATTCGTAAGCAGTAGATTCGGACTTACAAGGGTGACACAATAAAACATGTATAAATAGATAAATAAAAAAATAAATAAATAGCAACTAAAATTTCGGGTATAACCATAATAATACATGTAACAAGAATAACCACAGTAATAACAGAAATTATAACAAACATGACGGGATGTTAGCTCGACCTCCAGCCTTCTCTCCGCTTGCTCAACAGAATTTGTTACATTTCATGCTATAGATAAATTTAATTTCATCCTAGAAGGTAATAACCCTTACTGTGTACAAATAGGTAAATATATCAAAGAATGTTTAGACCTTAGAACAAGTAGTATTAGTTGACTCAGCTATTGTTTTGTACGTAGGTTAATTGTGTTGTACCCATGTATTTGTCTGTATATCTACATGCAGTTTTAGACCTTAAAAAAGTCGCTGTACTTTTGTTGTGTCAATAAAGTTCCATATTAATCTATCTTAGCACTGCGGCGTGAACAACATATTCTTTTGGATAATCACAAAATCTGCTATACGAGCCATCGAAAAATGCCGGTACTTTACACACACGGCAATGGAAATGTGCACGAACATATGATATGCATAGTTACAGAACTTTGCTAGGCTTTTCATGGAATGTATGTGCAAAATTGTCAGTGACTGTAACTTCCTAGTCTCAACCAGACTAAGTACGCTGGCTATAATTATAATAATATATAATAAAATCATAATAATTGCCAGGAAGTTTGGCCGCCTTGTAGGTTTGACTGGCCGCGCATGGAAAGAAACTACCTCCCCGCGGCCGGACTCCCTTGGCCAATTTTATTCTCCTTCTTGCCGAATTCTACGATCCGTATTCCCGTAAAAAAAGGCCTGGTGGAGGCTAGTACTAGTAACTTCCGTGTAGATGAGTAATAATACAGTAACGTGGTAACCTGAGAATTGTGGCGGTGTAGCCGGTGCAGTCGTGCCGTGTTATCTGATGTTGACTGAGCGGTGTCTCAGCGGGAGCTAGTCCGCATGTGGCGCCCGGATAATCCACTTGCTTCTGCTCAAAACGACACGTCATCTGACGCCTCCAAACATTCCAGATTTCTAGAATTTACCCAGGCTAGCTGGAGGTTGGGAAAAAACGTAAAATCTGATCTCCAAGCAGATCTTTTGGTGGCTGTATAATACAGTATCAAATTGGCAAGGCAGTACTAGTATCAAAATTGGCCAGGCAGTATCCAATATGCCACCACTGGCATAAAAAAACGACACCAGTGAAACAAACTCTATAAGAACACGTCAAAAATAAGCCGAACCCTAAACCTTGGCTTTGAGAGTTTGAAAAACCAAGGTTTGAACCTCCTTGGTAAATCTACAGTCACTTATAGAAAAAAAGCAACTTTAAACATTGCACCTCAAGAATACGTCGTTGGCACTTAAGCTTTATAGACAACTGTCTAATGCGCTCTCCTGCAATGAATGTGCTGTTGCAAAGTGAGATAACTAAGCTAAAATGGTACGTACTGTGGGTTTTTAAAAATTCCCGTACTTTAACACCTTGAACACCAACAGGGCAAAGGCTTCTCGTTAGACGAGTAGAATCTGATGATTCGGCCCCTCCCCACGCGTCCTGGGGACTTTTATTCGAAATCAGACGTGAACTTTTCTCTCTTCTGTCAATCAGTAGACGGCAGGTGCCCCGCCGGTCCTCCCTCCCTCCTCCCCCGGATGATGTCTCCATGGTAACCGGGGTCTCAGGTGATGCCGCTCCCTCCCATCCCCCATCCTCCGGGGAAGACGGCAAATTCAATTTACTGTCAGTCCCGTCTTTCCGGGCGCATCGCGCTTCGTTACTCATGGTCAATTGGCTTGACCTCAATTTGGCAGATTAATAGACTTGTAATAGGTACATAATTTCAATCGCGAGATTCGTGATGAATTTAATGCGCGCACAATGGCGGCACAATGGGCCTCTCGTGCGGATTGGCCTCGTCGCGATTTCACTTCCCAGGCAAATGGACTCCTATTATTCCCCCTGTATTACATCGAATTTCACTTTCCGCGTGGTAATAGGACAGGTTAAACATCGGAAACAAAATTCTTGCCTTCCACGTATATAGAAGGAAGCGCATGGCACCAGAAATAATGTCGACTACACAGGTCCTTCTCACAAGCATTCTTGATAGCTTTACACTTCTACAAAATGATTTCTTCTCACTGGGTTTGAAAAAAGGGACGTGATGTGATACGACAGCGCATTGAGAGAACGTACACCTCGCTAAATGTTAAAAATTCCTCCCGCGATGTGCTGAAATCCAGGCCGTATGACAAAGGAGGAAGACTCGGTGATTCCCCTCGCGTTTTCGGGGTTACAACTTAACGGTCCCGTCACTGCATGTGTAATGAGCCGTGGTCCCGTTAGACGGTAGCGGGTCCTGACACCGCTTGGTTCTAATTTTCTCAGCTCCCAACACGGGACCTACCGCTCCGCACAGGTTCAGGCAGGAAAAAAGCACCACACAATCAACCCTTCTTAAATCCACCTCGTCGGCTGGGAAAATCGCTGTGAAAAGGATGCACAATGTCCCATTCATGGGCGGGAAATATTAGCGAGAGCTATGCGCCCTTTTCCGCCCGGAATGAAAATTAACACTCCGTGTGTTCTGAATGACTTTGCCTAAAGTTTCACTGGGACCCTTTCATTCGGTGGTCACCAAAACGCTACTTTCTCACCGAAGGAACGGGAAGTTAATGTGGAAGAATGAAAACAGAGCGGCATGTGAGGGTTCCTCCTGGAGACTAATTAAAGCAATCGATGCCGGAGTGAAAGGAGTTGACAATCGATTCAGTGTTGCGAAGCGGGAGTCATTAGTTCATCCGATATGCGCATTTATTCTTCAGCGACTTCTGCCTAATCCACCGTTGCATTGGTGCACTCCCAAGTAATTAGTTGGCGACTGCGTAGGCCCGCCGATAGCTTCTAAACTTTCCCACAAAAATCTTCTGCGCCTTTTGCTGGCCTTGTCACTGGCGGAGTCTCGGGTTACAAGCGAAGTCCCCTCTCCCCTTTCACGGACCAACTGTTTGTGACCGTGTTCCCTTCCCAACAACAAAACTGTGCTCACGGCAACACACCACAACACGCTACAAACCACATCCCTTTTCCCAGCCTACACTTTGTACAAGAATGTTGTTTACTTTCAACATCTCGGGTTAATGGATTTAGATCCTACACGACAGCGGCCTTTCTGTTTTAATTGTTTCTTGTAAACGTTCATTAACAGTAACACTTTTTCCCTGGCTAATGGTATTATGGTCGCTTTGTGCTTGGTTGGGAGAGTGCGAGATAGAATTGCTAGCGGATATGGCAGGTGTGTGTGCCGCGCTCACCGCGCGATTCTCGGGGTCTGACACCGCCCGCTCTTCCCTTCAAAGCCGCTTGTTCACGGCTACACTCACCGCTTCCCCACAAAAGATTCCGCATACTTAGGAAGCCGTTTTTACGTGTTCATAAACGGCGCAGTAATGAAAAAGAAACGCCCCCGTCGGTGGCCAGGATTATCCCTTTGTTTGCCCAACAAGTGAAATCGCCGTGCACGGACCAATCAGCAACCACCAAATCTAATTTAGAGGAAGGCGTGACCACTGGTTGGTCAGAGGGCAGATCCAGGGTTTGGCTGGGGATCCATATAAAGTTACCAACGAAGCACTCACGGATCTTAAAACATCTACAGCGCTTTTCCACGTACGAACGGCTGGGCCCGAAAAAAAAGGCGGACAATCCTGAGGAAAATGGCTGACGACCGGCTGACAGACGATCGTTCCGAGAAGAGAAAATGTGACGAGTTTGGTTCCCTGTACTTGGAGAGAACCGCGGCCGTTCGCGCACTCAGTGGCGCTGCAGGTAAAATTTATTTAAGTTCCTTGTCAGTTGTGACCAGATCTCTCGCCAAGCCGAACCGGGCCACTTGTGCCGATGATTTAAGTCAATAGTTTCAGTCACTTTCAAAATCGAATATTTGTAAATTCGTTAACTTTGTCACTACACCACCCGTAGACTTTGGGCAACTATTATAAATCTCATAATGTCCTGTTTGACGCGTCCAAGTGAACAAGCTGGGAAGCATTGAAACTATAATTCGCTTAGTTTGTGAGTAATTGTGTGCAGAAGCTAATTTGAAATGGTTGATCTGGCAGTTACAATTGTATATATTTTGTGGATATCATTCTATTTGCGGTGATTGAGAGAGCTGGGTTGTTTTGCTGAGTGCACTTTGACAATGTGTCCGCGCGCGCGGCGGACAGTGTGGCTACACCCCGCCGGTACAACTCTTCCAACTCGCGGCGCGCTGCCTTCAAGCTCAACGATGAACTACGTCGTTCAGAAAAAAGGCGCAAATTCCTCTAGCGCATACACAAGTCTCTCTTTTGTCTTGACTCAGAACGAAGGGACTGAGTTGGTTTGTACGTTACCCATTTTAGACATTCCGTGAGAGAAAAAAATTGTGAACGTTTCCAGAAAAATCCCGCCAGAGGGGGGGCCGCGCGGTTAAGCCAACCTGCTGTCGGCGGCGCCAAATCCCGCACAAACCCCGCTTCGTAAACCTGTTTGATGCCGCTTCCCTAAAACTGGTATTCCGTCCGACTTAACTCCTTAAATTCCTTATCAACAAATAAATAAATAACCTGATTTTGATTTTGTATTCTCCTAACGATTATGAAATCTAGAAAAAAAACTCTTCTGTAGCGGTCGTCTACAGGGGAATGGGGCAAATATTTTCTTCTTACATATTTGCTTGCACAAACTTGCGAAGTGAAATGTCATTTCTTATAAGCATAATAACTTCACGAGGAAAATTCTATCCTCGATTCATGGCGTCTAAATCGAATCTGCATCCCTCATATTCAAGGGACGATTGGGTTTTCTTTGCCGGGATCTAGTTTGTCGTGAAGTGCTTGTGAAGAAGGCGAACTGACGCAGGCGGCTGGGAAGATTTTTTTAGCGCGCACAGCTCGTACAGCCTCGGCCCCAGAATCAAATTTTCTCTCCCCTCTACAAGCTTGATGATTCCTCATTACGGCCGCTCGCGATTAGATCAGACCCATCCCCGGCAACTATACAAGTCATAATGTCATAAGAAACTACTTTACGGCCAGCAATTTAGGCCTAGAGATGCAGTAATAGACGAGGGTTATGTAAAAAACTTGGGTGTCGATGGTTGAGATGTTTGTAGAAATCAGACGAAACGACGTTTTCATGAGGCGTTTTGTGAGGAACATTTTTCAGACGACTTTTTATACTTCAGTGTATACAGCTGAAGCTCGTGATAGTACAAACACTAACGTTATTTTCTGAAAATTTTTTTGCAATATCATAGTTTAGCTAACGTCTTATGACCGTCAACTTACACAATTTTTTTCATCTTTACCGTGTTAACCTTGTAAAAGTATGGAACGGCCGGGACGATATTTACACTGTACGTTTATCTGTATGTATGTACGAGTAAAATGTACGAAAATTGTGAAATATTGTTTTTTTTCTTGTCGCACGCGTTTAAGATGGACCAACACGATTGTTGAAGCAAAGAAATGGAGTATCTTTAGTTGACGAATATTCGTAGCGATGCACGATAAAAAAAGTGTTGTTTTTTATTTTGTTGCACCATGACACGTACTGAAAATACAAGTATTTCTTACCATGTACATGTATCATTTCCTTCGAGCCACCGGTTATTTTCAAGAGTTTACAATAAATAAATGGCAAATCACAATTTGATGTACTGAAATCCCCAGTCATTTTTACTTCGCGCATTTTCTTTTTCATCCTTTCGGAAACATGTGCGCGTATTTGCAACGAAAGAATGTTCAAAGTCGACCCAAATGAAAGCGACAACGTTTAAATCCTATTGGCAAATTGAGTAAAATATGTTGTCAGTGCCCTCACGACAGCATTGCCAGCAAAAAAATTGTTGATTCGGTTTATCAAACGACCTGAACTCATTTTTTTGGATAACAGAATTACACTTTATTGCTGTGAATGATATCATATTTTTGTATGTGCGCACAGTATCATATTAAGGCAGGTCACGAATACAGTTGACTTGTATACTGGGGTTTTGATGTCTGGAAACTCGGCGTTATATACGATACACGGTGTGGACAAGTTAAGAAGAAAAAAGAAGATTCAATTCGTTTGAATCACACGTTCGGCTTAGAGCAGAATATTTGATCTTTAGCACAGCTCCCTAGATGTCCTGTGAACCATGTGGCATATGGACGATAACTAACTTTGTTTCTAATAGATTTAGATTTCGCCTGTATCATACACGGAATCGGGTTATTTCTACAGCCTTGTGTGTCAAAGTTAGGTGCATGCGGCTTTCTGTACGTCTCTCACGAGCGGGCATTGTTGTCGTCGCCTCTCCGTCTTTGTGTGGTGCAAGAATCGGTCCTTTTAGCGATCTTTTCGAGTCGACCGACTTGTGGCAATACGCAGTACCCCGGAGGAGGGACCGAGTAGCCGCATACACACAAGCACTGCTGCGGCGTTGTTTAGAAGTCACCACAACGGGAGTGTTTTCACCCTAGAAAACTGTAACGTTCTTGAACAACAAGCGACGTATTCTTCCAGATGTTTTACCACTTGCCGATGATTTGCACTGACTTCCCCGTCTATCCGCCGATCACAGAGAGCCCGGACGGGGCCTTCAAGAAGCCGAAGCCGAGTGAGGGCGCAGGGCTCGGGCGGGACACGGCCACCACCCCGCCCAACCCCGCCATCCCGCCGACTCCCGCCCGCCGCCGCCACCGGACCACCTTCACGCAGGAGCAGCTGGCCCAGCTGGAGGAGGCCTTCAGTAAGAGCCACTACCCCGACATCTATGTCCGAGAGGAGCTGGCCAGAGCCACCAAACTGAACGAGGCAAGAATCCAGGTACACATACAGAATTTACGTACATTCTTACAATCATGTGGAAAACAGAGAAAGTTTTATTGAAAATAGAACTAAAGCGACGCCTCGAACTTTATCCTGTAGTATTTTCAGCATGATAAATCATCTGCTTTCAAGCAATTTTGTGCAGAATCATCCTAGCATTTACGTTGTGTGTCTTTGCAATTGACTGTAAGTTTCTGTAAATGGTGAAGCGTTAGTCATGAAAATAACTTTTTTGTCTATTGTTTCTGCGCTGTTTTTTTTTAGCTCTAGAAGTGAATTTTAGATCGTAGATGGCTGTTTGTATCCTTGTAGAGTTTTTCACATATCCTGCTGTAGCGTCGTTTAAGCCATGGTGAACATTGCCCGATTAAAACGTGCCCGGCTTGTTATTCAGTCCTGTTGATGTCGGTTGTTCGTCGGTCAAAAGTCGGGCTGCCTGGCCACCCACAGCGGAACAATATAGAACTCCATTGTTCAGAACACCGACTTCAACATGCGCGGATGAATGTAGGACATGTGTTATAGGTTTTACCGGACTTTGAGATTAAGATGTCTACATATTGAAGGGCTGTATGTTTACCGCTGTATCAAGTACGGTACAGTGTCAGCCGCTTTCAGTTGGGCGGCAGCGCAGTAACTGTATACGGTGGCCCGCTAGTTTTTCTCTGCCTTTTGCGAGCGCGTTGTTCGAGCAAGCCGGTAACAAATCTACGGGGTTACATTTCTTTTTGTGCGTCAACAATTGACAAATACCATCATCAACTTCACAATGAATAACTTCCATGAGTTAAAATAGCGTACGTATTAAAATGTATGTGTATATCTTTAATTTTTTTAACACCCCATTTTTACAGTACGGACTGGAGCGAAACCTTGGATGAATACGTTTCTTGTTCACCATGTGACTTGTGGAGGGTTCGCTGCTAATTCTTTTCCCGGTTGCACCAGTAATTTTGTGGAAGTAAAGAATGATCTTGCAACATTTCCCTGTGAGAAGAACAGATGTTATAAGAGAAGAAAAAGAAAAAAGGGGAACACCAGTCGAGTTCATCTGTCGGAAAACTGAGCTGAGATTATTGTTCCTTCCTCCCGCGCCAAACGAGGATTCCTGTGCATGACTAATCCTTGTCGGGGGAAATCTGAAATCTCGGCGGGCTTTAGGTATTGTTTTTCTTTGCCGCTGAGTAATAATGGTAGGTTTACTAACAGTTCAATGATCCCGAACTGATTGCCGTTACTTCCACATCAGCGGTCGCCGGAATATGTCTATGGCTTTTTTTCTGCCAGAGGATAATGTTAACATTTTTTTCTCTCTCCACATCATCAAAAACGTTTTAGTAGTATACGACAATGAAGATTCGAGGAAAACATCCACGGTTGAGGCAGTATATAAACGTGTGTTTCTATCTGTTGTCTTGTGTTTGTGCGAAAGTGTGAGGGATTTTCTGACAGATGGACGGAGGTCCCAGTGCAGTCCTGTAGCGAAGCGCTCCTCCCTCCTAGTTAACTCTTAGGGAAGGCAGAAGAATAGAACCACACAAGAACTGAACACGACCGTAGGCTTGAATGGAACTGTCGGTGTTCGGGGATAAAGACATCGTCCAGCCAAGAAGCTCCTTGGTTCAGCCTTTCCGCAATGCCGATGCTTTGAGAAAAATTCGTTTCCAAACCGGGATTTTTAAGTCTTTTTACAAAATCTTTAGTGTTCATGTGAAGAAAAATTCGCGGTAGATAATATGTTTTATGTGATTATTTTTTCACTGGGTAAAATTGTTTCCAAAACGGGATTTTTATTAATTTCCAATTAGTTCGTGTGAAAAAAATTCGCGGTAGATAATCTGTTTTTGGTGGGGTTTTTTTTCACTGGGAAAAATTCGTTTCCAAAACGGGATTTTTCATTTCCAAAATCTTTAGTGTTCGTGCAAAAAATTTTCGCGGTAGATAATCTGTTTTGGGTGATTATTATTTTTCACTGGGAAAAATTCCTAAATCTTTAGTGATCGGGTGACAAATTCTCGCAGTAGATAATGCGCATTTCTTTTATGATTATGATTTTTGGGACTGGGTATATAACACTTCACCATCTGCGTTGTCCTGTGTGTTTCACAGCGACAATGGTGCGCTTTATCTAAGTCCTGTTAAATTAAGTTTTCTCGGGCGAGAATGCCCGTTTGATATCGCGGCTTGTCGTGTGAATCCGCGACGCGTTAAGGCAGTTGTCGTGTTGAAAAGATGGGCTTTTCCACCTGTCTAGGCCCTGCGCCGTGACATGGTAAGGAACCAACTGACAGATTTCACATCTGACTTCAGCTATCGCCTCCCGTGACGGCATCAGCTCACGGTTGACTGTGCGGTAACACTGAGACAAGTAGATCGTCTGTCGGCAGGTGCGTTTAGCGGTTTTCCCGCTCATATTTATGAGATGCTCGCTAGGTCTCATTAATAGGGCTGAATTGGGTTTTTATTGGGAGAATAATTCAATAAAGACCCATTTCAATCCAAATAAAGATTTGAATTGAGGATCGAAGTCCGTGGCTCGTTGAAAGCTCAGGTGGCATACGTGCGTGTGCCGGCGGGCTCTGGGGCGTCAGCCTGCGGAGGCCTCGACAAGAATGGACCGGGCGCGCTGTGTCGGCTTTGTGGATTCTATGCACGCGTCCAGACACATTGTAACTCTTTCAAACCGTGCCTTTAAAAGCGCCGAGAAAATTGAAGTGGTTTGGGAAGTGCGAGAGAGCAGCGAGGGAGCAGGGAACAATAGTCTGGTAATGAAAGGTCCATTAGCGACCACTTCTGTTGAAAGCGTTTTCCCTTCGTCACGTGACGGCATAGAGCCAGGCTTGTAGATCGATGTTGTGTTGGGGAGTGGGGGGGGGGGGCTGGATTCGTCCTTTTTAATGCGTTTGTCATCATGAATAGCGCTTCATTCTCCATGCAAGTCAGCAAATCCGGCAAATGGAACAGAATGTCAAACCTACAACTGCGATGCACAAACGTAGAGTGTTCCATCACTCAGTACATAAATATAACGTACTCAGTGTCTCCAACGTTTTTCATCAATTCCTCCACAGCCCCCCGATTCGAACCCTGTAACCCCGCTCAAATTCAATCCGACGATTAACTTTTGGAAGAATTATGTCGGAGAATATTTACAAAATTGAATTCTGAGAGGTCGGGGCGCGAAATTGAGCCCTGATTTAGCCTAGTGTACGACGTTAGACTTGAAGCGGGTTATTCTGGTAAAGCACGGAACAAACTTTGTGTAGCGTCTATCTTTGTGTCCTGAAAACTTGTTTGCTGAGCTCATAGCCAGTAATAACATGAGTGTTTACGTAGATTCTATCATGAATGATATTGAGAAGTGTACCCCGCCCTAGCAGATTTTAAGTTATGTCCTTTTCGCTACACCACGAAGTCGAAGACTTGAAGGGATTTGGATGTCGATATACGAGTATATGTGACTTGCATATATGCAGGAAAAGACAGGAGTAGTGTCAATGAATTTGTGTCTGTTTATCCTACCTAGTTATAAAATTTCAGTTAGAGAAGTAGCCGTAGATTTACTGTGTAATATTGGCTATTGTCGCGATTCTATTCAAACGGGACTTCAATTTTTTTGCATCGAAAGCCCAAAGACCTAAACAGCGAGAGCACTGCCAATAAAATGTGCGTCGGCCTATGTGCTAGCTAGCAAAAACACATACATTCTGGAAATTCAGACATACAAGCGGTCGTATAGATTTACTGTGTAATATTGACTGTTGTCGCGATTTCATTTGAATCAGACTAAAATGTTTGCATCGCGAGCACAATTATGATTTCGACACACTTTTTTTCTAAAAAATGTGTTTTGAATGTCATTCCCTTGGTGACACACTGTTATTACCTACGAAGTGAAGGCCAACTTAAGATGGCGAGTTGTAGTAACTATCCTCTAAGTCATGAATTAAGAATGGAGCGATGTCACGCAGGCGAGCGGAGACCTATATTGACCTCTCGGGGTTTGGGACGGCCCCGGCCCGACAGCTAGATGAGGCCTGTACGGTCCCCCGGGTGGCAGGCCGTGATTGTGGGGGCGGAGAACCCGCTAGTGATGAAAGTCAGGACTGACAGTTCTGTTATCAGGGGTGTTGAGCTGTGCTCAGCGCGTCTTTTCTATGCTTTCAAAGCGCGCACACAAAGCGATAAAACTATATTTTCAAACGTCATCAATTTTCAAAGTCATTTCATTTGGTAGGTTGAATCAACACTACCCAATAGTATACTGATATCTGTGAGGCAAACACATATATATCGTTTTTTTTTATATCTTGATCAACTCTGTCAGTATTTATGTATTTGTTTCACTTGTTCATTGATTAATTATTGTACATGATAACTCGTGCTTTGCTTGCTTGTATTACGTATTGTCTGGTGGCGACATGAATATAATAAGTGTAACTTGAGTGTGTCGCCACCACGTCTTGTCACTGTATTTCAATAAAAAAACATATATATTAAATGCGATGTCACTGACGGAAAACTATTGCTTGCTTCGTATGGTAGGCTCGTTATAGCTATTTTTATGGTGGTAACAAAAATAAAGGGACTCCTAATGTGGCTTGTTTCGGGGCTATTTCACAAGCTTCAAGTATGAAATGATGTCGAAAATGTGCTAAGAAATAACCGTATATGTCAATATCAGATTTTCCCATCCAGAATATTATTTTGCCCATCTGAAATTGGATTGGATGCCTTTAAAATCTGTGTCACACTAGTGCACGCAGAGAACACTTTGTGTTCAGGAAACTATTCCACTGGGCTGTACTCTGATTTTGTCATCAGGTATCATATTGAATCTATGAGTCAAAGTATACAATGCAGCGCGCACTGAAGTAGGAAATCACGAATCTTGTAGTGTAATAGGCGTATTGTAATCGGAGCCATGATACCCAGAGTTAAAAGTCGAGCCGAATCGACGATGAAGTGAAATATTTTATGCTGCAGCAATCATTCTACTAACATAAAGTATAATAATAATGATAGTAATAATAATGATAATAATAAATGATTTATTGGTCATCACCCGTGCAATCGCAGTCTTTTGTAGCACTGGCACTGAATTGATGCAGGGTTTACAGTCACATAATACACATGATACATATAGCATATTTGCTCCACACACACTTTTGTGGAACTGTCGCAAGGGTCTGTGCGAATGGCAATAAAATATACACAGTACATAACTGAATTCGAAGAAAGGAGGTAGCCTCTACCAGGCTTCAGAAGCGGCTGGACAAAGCGGCAAACTGTACTCCTTTAGCAACTTCCTTGTATATTTTTCCAATTGTTTTACTCTTCCAACCGCCTCTGAAGCCTGGTACGAGATTGCAGGCACACTAGTCAATCTTGACATCGTGTTTGAAAACTACCCGTTGATATAACGTATAATTGATGCAAATTTTTAAAACACTTCAGAGAATATTACGGTGCATTAGAATTGATTTCATGAAGTTTTCTTTAATTGTAAAGTTTATGAAGTTCAAAGAAAGAACAACCTTACAACATTAAGGATGCGTGGGGAGCAGTTTTAGAAGTTTAACCGGGAACTACTTAGTTGAAGCATGGGTTCAGGTTATGGCTTATTTTTGACGTGTTTTCTTCTCTGTACTGGTATTTTTAACTCTCCAAGCAGAGTTTCGGGTTATATTTGAGGTGTTTTTATGCATTTTTATTGATATATTCGGGGCCCAAGATTGATATATTTTACGCCATCCAAACATATTCACTAAAACCCCTGCCTTTGTCCACATAGTGTTCAGAAACACTGCTACACTTTCTAACACCCTTTGTACTGTATGTTGACTGATCCCCCTTCTCAATAGCGTTTTCGAGTAATCATGAGGAGTAAATAGGCAATTTTGCTCGTGAATAGGACCTGGACTGTCCAGCTGCGGACAAGCTCTCGATACCGGAGCGTAAGAGCCTTACTGCTCGTGCCTGACACACGCCGTTTTTTCTCTGATATAAGCCGCTCGCAATTGTCCCTTATATCAGTGTAGGGCCTCTTCAAGACACAATGTGCTTTGTAGCCGCGGCCCAGCGTGAGGTGGGATTGAAACATTAATTTTCATTGTGATTGTTTGACACGTGCGCACGCTTATTCTGGCATTAACTCTGCAACCGGCAATTATAGAAGCGTTAGCACCAGTGCAGTTTAACCCCCGTCTTTTGTTCTAAGTGTCCGGGCGGCGGCTGTTGTGCCACATCACAGGGCAATAACGTGTACATCTGTTGTACTACTGTACATCACACATGCTTGTTTAGCTTTCTTGGGGTTTTCACAAAAGAGAAAAAACGACCATTTCAAATATGGGCTTGCAACTTCATTCTGGATGAGGAAATTTGTCTTTTATTGACATTTACTGCAATTTGTTTATCACATGTTTATCACATTTTCCTCATCATTTCATACTTGTAGTGTTTAAAATAGCCCCCCCAAAAAAGCTACGTCAGGCGTGCTTTTGTTTTTGGTACCACCAATAAATAGTTAGAACCAGCCTACAATATCAATCAAGCAACTGTTTTCCAACAACGACATCGCATTTTGTCTCATGCTATGGGATAGAGCTGATTCTCGCAACATAAAAATGGCCAGAAAATAATTAACTTTGAAAATTCAGTTTTACTGATCTGAAATCCCTTTGAGTGCCTTTAAAAGGAACTGTGTTCACCGCTGTAGATATACGTTAACAGAACGGAATCAGAAACAACATTTGCCGACGGCAGTTTCCTCACAATTTTTCAGGCTTGATTTCTCTTTGGTGGGCTGACAGAAGGCGTCCTTCAGAGTGCATCATGACAGATGCTCCGAGATTAAAGAAGTTAAAAGTGTTCGGGGGAAGCAAATACAAACGGTTAACAGATTCCGGATAAAAAAATACAAACCAGCCTGACTACATTTTAGACCTACGTGTCTGTGAAGTGTGATTGGACACACAAACTTTCATATTCCTTTGAGACTTTCTACTCTTATGATGATAGACAGTGGACATAAATGCGCAGAAAATCTTTGAAAACAAAAAATGAAAATCACACTATAATACGCGAAATTACAATTTATATAAAACATGCCATCTGGAATAGGAAATGTCTCTGTGCTGTAACAACCCTTACAATTAGTAATCAATGACAAATTGTTGTTTATCACAGTAATTCTATTCATGAAATCCGTTTGGATATGTTGGGATTTTTAGACATTTGATCATTTCTCGCCAGAACCGGACTTCCTAAAAGCACTCGGAAAGTGAAACAATACCAATTTCTTATAGTTTGATTCATTTTCATGATACTACGCATACAATTCCATACCGACACAGGAGCAATTAAATGTTTAATTTCTAATCACTATAAAAGAAGTAGGTGAAAAAAACAATCGATGTTTCCTTTCTCTGTTATTGTATGGTGCACGTGTATTCTGTGTTCTACTCTCATAGCAAAGGTTTGTTGGGAAGCGTGGCGTAACAGAAGTGAGTGCTCGGCTAAGAACCAAGAGGTCCTGGGTTCGAATCCGGCCATGCCACCGATCTTGTGCCCATGGGAAAGGGATTTAACACGACTTTACTCACTTCACTCAGGTGAAAATGAGTATTGTTCTCTGCGTTGGTGGCGGCAAGATAAGTTGAAAACTGTGCTGTTATCATGTCTTGTTTGCAATGCTGCGATAAAAAAAAAAACAGGTTTAGACTTCGGCCAATTTTTGTAGGCGTGTTGTACTGGTTATCTTTTTTTACGGAAGCCCAACATTCGGGTGGCAATTGGTAACTGTCTGGCAAATGGACACTGCCTGGACAATTTGACACTGTCTTTGCAGTCACCAAAATATCTACTTTGAGATTTTATAAACCGTGTGTCTCTACTCTGTGTGTAGGTGTGGTTCCAGAACCGCCGTGCGAAGTACCGTAAGCAGGAGAAACAGCTGTCCAAGGCCCTGTCCCCGGTCCTGCCTCCCATGGCCTCCTGTAACAACATGATGCGGGGAATCTACCAGCCTGCAGCCGGCCACAACTCTGCCGTCCGCCCGGGCAGCTACCAGTACCAACACATGTCCAACACCATCAACCCTGCCAGCTCATGTGCAAGGTAAAAACATCGTGGGGTTTCGTAACGACAGAGTGTTTGTCTCGGAACCAAGAGGTCGCGGGTTCGAACCCTGCCATGTCACCGATCTTGATAACTCAGTTGTAAATGAGTATTGCGTTGTCCTCTACGTTGGTGGCGGCATAAAAATAAGTTGAATTCAAACTTGTATTTGATCTCGAATTTGATTTTATACGAACTCTACCATCCCTTTCAGCAGTAGTAGTGGTGCTTAAAACTGTAAAAGTGGTGTGGTAGCTAAACGTTTCCATAGACACTGGAATTTGGTTTCATCTAGATATATGTCTGCTTCCCACTTTAACACATACACAGAAACTGTCCTTTTCTAGCAATAGTAGTATGTTGGCAGATTCCAACAATATGTTGGCAGATTTGTATTTTGTAAAATTGCTTTCGAGATATTGTTGGCCACCCCTGTCCTTGGTGCTGAAAAGACGGTCATTTAGAAATAATGTATATCTTCCCTGTGTTCTGTCTATGGGAAATTCCATGGCGATGGACTAAATTTGGGAAGCATTCACAAGGAATACTGTTCCATGGTGATGTAGTTCTAGGAAAGAAGCTGTCAGTGTGGAGCTTCCTCCTGAGAGATGGAATATGGAAGAAGAAAGGGTGTTTTGCTTCTGTAGTACATGTAGTAGCAAAACGTGTCCTGGTCGAGAAAGTTCGGTGTGGGGGCACAAGCGAATGAAGTTCCGCGGAGCATTTGCCGTGGAAATAGCGATAGAAGAACACCAGACTTGCAACATCACGCCTTTTTTGTGAAAGGGGCTACAAGATGGCGTACAATATAAGCCGTGAAAGTCGTTTCTAACGGTAGTTGTTGTTTTTTTCCAGGTACCCTCAGATGCAGATGGCGAGCTCGGCCTACGCGCCTCCCCCCATGGCACAGTTCTCCATGCCGCCCACCACCAACATGGGCATGCGTGTGGAGCAACACGACGACGACTGGTGAGGGCCTTTCCCCGTGACCTGTGTACTTGTAGCCTGGTGTTCAGTCTATCGTGATTTGGGCGGGCTCCCTTCGGGCCTATAGACGTTTTCCACCGCCCAGTTCAGCTAGGCTCCCCGGTAGGTTTTGCAAACTGCACGGGCGTAAAACTCCTATCGGGGAGCCTAGTTTAACTGGGCGGTGAGAAACGTCTGAAGGTCCGAAGACAGCCCGCCCAAACCTCGATAGGCTGGGCACCAGGCGAGTGTATACGTATATGAAGGGCGAACGTGGTTTTTGCATGTAACTGAAAATGCATAGTATAGTCAGACAGTAGAAAAGTACACGTCCGTTTGGTATCTCTTTCTAAAGTTAAGAGTCGGTGCAGCATGACTGTAGATGCGTCAAGTACACGATCGAATTTAACAAATAAAGCCCATACCTGTCAATTGGCTTTTGTATAGTATCCATTGACACAGTGTAGCCACAAAGGCATTGCACTTGCCTGTACGTACATGTAGGGATAGCAGGCTTTCTATTGGGGGCAGACATTCTTCATCCTCCCACGCCAGGGGTGCTTCCTTACGAGTTCGGAGCATTTGCCGCGGGATAGCTCTGCCGTGGGAGAATGGCATTCTTATGTATGAAGAGAAATTTTCCAGCAAAATACTAGTGTTTACTATGTACACATAGTATGTAGGAGACCTCTCATATGTTATGTTGACTGAAGATGTCTTTCTCCTTGTCTTTAGGTATAACAAAAGCCTGACCGCGGCGCTCAGAATGAATCCGTCCCACCATCCCAACCTGTCGGCGCCAGTGCTGCAATACCAAACGTAAGCCACAGGTGGCGCGGAAGATAGGTGTGTACCGTTGGGCGCACCTCCCTATGTTGCATTGAATAGTTAGTGGGCAGGGCACCGGAATTTATTTATTGTCGGTGTAGCGTATTGAAGCTTACCATACATGATGAAACGAAACCTTATATTTCATATCACTGCCTAATAAGAAGATTTAGGTTGAAGAAGGTTAGATTTCCCAGGTACTTGTAATATACGGACAAGAAAACTGTTACTCATGCAACTGAATAGATTTTAAAATTGCCATGCACGTTTCAAGTAGCATCCACTACTTTTCATCAGTGACTAGCAGAATATGTAGTTGTCAGATATACTATCCAAAAACTACGAATTGAGATTTCGCACAATCTTTTATGCGGAGGTTTAAAAACAGCAGTGCTCAACTCAATATAGTTCAACTTTTCTAAAAGTTCTTATTTTGCAAAATGACAAGTCGTAGACGTATCCAAGAAATCGTTTTCAAAGTTTTTACAGTGATTGCTATAACCTTGGCACTGAACAATGTCTAAACATGTTTTCTTTTTCTTTTCCAGGTCTCCAGAACGATTCCTCACCACTCACAGGTCGTCTCTATTCGCCTAACCCCATCATCATATTCTGACATTTAAAAAAAGAAGAATCGTTATTCTCTGTAGCCTACGTTGAACGTAAAGAAAGATTGTGTTAACAAAGCTCATTCAAAGAGTTAGTGAAAAAGACTCGGGACTACTACGATTATGTTTAGTCACTCTATGATATTCGCTTTCCAGATTTGGCACTGAGATCTAATAAAAAATATCACGTCAGTCCGTCTCTGCTTTGTCCACTGGCAAAGTGATGTGAGGAATTTTGCATGGCTAAAGTCCCTGTCACACATAGCCCGAATATGGCCTCCCGAACACTACTGAATTATCCACAACCATGGTTGGGAGTAGGTTGGGACAAAGTAGGTTGTGGTTGGCTCGAGTTGGCTACTGGTCGGCTGGGCCAGCTGAAGTTCGGTCATAATTCAATTGGTCAGCAGTGTTTGGGGCGTTGTTTGTCTAAAATTTAACTCAATTTTTATTCGATTCGTATTGAAATGTAATCGTGGCCTAAATATGGCCAGACTGCTCCCGAACTTAAGCCAACCTTGGTTGGTAGTTGGGGGAAGATTCTGAATGTGTGGCAGGGGGTTTATAGCTCAGTGTATTTGAGTGAATCAAGACATACACTGACATGTCGACGCCCGTGCTGCAATACCAAACGTAATCCACAGGTGGCGCAGGCGATAGGCTTATACCGTTGAATGGACGAAAAAAAAAACATTGAGGAAAGGTCATGTATATGAGATGTGTATATGTAGTAATGTATACTGCGCGCTGCAGGAAGTTGTCCTAGGAAAATGCGGATATTTTTGTATCAATGTTTCTGATTGATGTTTGTTTTTTTGTTGATGGAACTCGACTCCTAGAAAAAAAGGAAAATAGAGGGACGAGTTTGTGCCAAATATAAGTATCTTTGTGGACACTTTTTTTGTGGTCAAATACTTTGCAAGCGTTTTTATCAGTCTATGTCTTTGTCCAAATCTATTATGAGTGAACTCGAATTGAAACAGTGTGTATATGGTATTCTCAAGTTCCGTTATATCGATGATTGACTTATTTTCTGAGTTGTGACATGGAAACTTTGGTATGTATATGCTGTGATTTTTTCTTTCCAAGATATTTATGAAGTGTGAATAATGTCCCTGTGTGTTTGAGTGGCTGCAAACTTGTACCCATGCACTGGCTTCTGCGTCTTTTGAGGAAAATAATGCTCTTTTGCGATTTCATAAACTCTACAAAATTCACAACCTCAGAGTACATTTGTAAGAGGCGCTTGATATGTCACATGAGACTGTAAGATATTGCCTTACTCTGTATGACAATTTAAAGCTTACTGCATAAGGGGATGTCAAATAATGCCTCCATCCAACTGTGACAATTCCTTGTTGTTGTGTCGTAAAAATGATCTTAAAGGGGCATTGTGTAACATTTTTGCACCAAAAATTGAAATATTATAATTGAAAAATCTTCCTGTGATCATAATTTACTTCCATATTCCAACATATTTGTACAATTATCTCAGATTTCTGACATGTATGGTTGGCACTAAAGCAGCCCACACGAGGCGCACTCAGTTTGTGGTACCACCACAAAATACCAGAATGTAAACAAACATGGCTGACAGCTATGTTTTCAGCTTTTAAACACACTTGTAAGGCTTCACATTTAAATTTTGGCACTTCCAAATCCCGAATGACAATTACATTTGCAATGGAGAAGGTTGATTCAACTTACGTTGTGAAAAAATTGCCAGAAAATTTGATTGCTTTTCTTTTGCGTTGTCCTGATGTTACATAATGCAGCTTTAAGCATGTACATGTAGTTGTCCCACTGACAATGCGATTGTTCTTGTTATACCGTCATACGGCATTGTTCAGCGCCTATTCCAAAGAGAAGTTTTGTCCTAAGAATTTCTATGTGTGCTGCGATCTTCAAACTCTTTTGATTGTTTTCTATATGACCAATGGTAAGAAATACTATGAGTAATGAATGAACAAGTGATGTGGCCAATGTGTGTGTAATGGAATAAAGTGTGCATCGGATAAAGTAAGATTTCTGTGTATTTTTTGTACAAGAATACAAATCCAGCTGTAAATTTAAAGGTATAACAGGATCAATTTCCACCATAACTAACATTATCATATAGCCACAATTTGTATTGATAATAACGCCATAACATCATAGACTGTATGACAACTTGTGGATAATTATCATAAGTGGTCAGTTATTAAAATAATTGACCACTTGCCCATACCATTATGCAGGGGGAACCTATAAATGTATTTCTGTTTTCTCTCTTAAACCGTTTAACGTAAAGAGTAAAATTGTATTTCACATACTAGTATGATATGGTTATGTGTTTTATTCCCACATCAAGGAATTTCACAGAAATCTGTAGGAAAATTAACTTTTGATTTCAAAAACAGACATTTATAAAAAAAAGAGTTCTAAGCAGCTGCAATTTTGTGCATATATTTATCTTAATTGAAATATCTATTTGTTACAGGTTCAACACTTTCTAAGTACAAAAAAATGTTCTCCAGTTTTCCAGTTACAATATAATAAATCCAGTAGTCAAATTAATCGTAAAAAAAGACCAACAGAGAATATTTGGTGCAGTCCTTTACAGCCTAGGATATCATTAGTCAAATTTCATGTTTTGTTGATTTTGTTACAATGTTATTATTTACAGTGGTGAAGTAACTGAATCTCTGACACAAGAAAACTCTTGGATTGTTGGCACAAAAACAGTGTGGTAAAAAATAACTATTTGGTCCTATATAAGAACAAACTGATTGATTCAGTATCAGATTTGTACTTATTTTGTTCCTAAAGCTTTACAATTGCGAATAAACCCATATATAAATGCTAAAGAAGATTTTGTAACATACTGTTACAATATATAAGACAAAGGGAAATAATGTTATCCTCATCAAATTGCAATTACATTGTATTGAGCACGTACTTTCATGTGCACTTAGGCTTTGAATCCTGTGCCAACCTACAAATCTAACTCTTACTTGATGTCCAAAAGGACAAGGACAATCATAAGAACTATTTATTGCCATCTGGTATCTCTTTAAAATGTCACTGGAAAATTCCCCGCCTCTTCTGGTCTACATTCTGTTTGATTTACATAAAAGCAATGATAGAGTGTAATGTATCATATCATTTGTGATTGCCAAAAAAAACAATGCACAGTTGGTAACTTGATATTTAATGATAGCCTGGCTACCAGACCTGTTTTAGGTCCCAAGTCCTCACTGCAATTTATTTCTGTTCTTTCTTTTTACGTGTACATTTGGGCTAATCAAGGAGGTCATGGTCAAAATCTATTCAAGATAAAAGGGAGCAGCCAGAATACTAGTAGTTTGAAATTCTGACATATAGAGTTTGTGCAATAAATTCAAACGTTACAAAAAGTTAGCCTGGTTACCAAACCTATTATAGCTCCCGAGCCCTACATCCTCTCTGCAAATAGTGGATAGGCTAACAAAATGTATAAGGGGGGTTTGATGACTAGGTTACTGAACTAACTAAGGTGTGTCTTTTGTACGGGTATTGTATAACCAGTAAACCTGCCCTTGGGCAAAAGCAGCAGCATCTTTTGTAAGTGACAACAGCTGGTCATTTGTAGGGAGGGGGGAGATCACATCGGGTGTATCTTTTATTTTAGATTAAAGGTACCCAATGCAATTTCAGGGTGCCAAAAACAACCATATGCTACGTGAGGAGTCCCATCATTTTATGGTACCACCAATAAATTGCTAAAGCCCTACGATACAAACCAGTCTGCAATACAATAGGTTCTCTGACAGTGATATTTTTTGCCTCACACTGTCACAGATGTTGTTAGTATGCTTTAGGATAAGGTCGATTCAACTTACTACTGAACATTAAATCAATAAATTGACTTTAAAATCCAGTTTTACTGCCCTGAAATTGCTTTGGGTGCCTTTAAAGTGATGTGAAATGAAAGGGAAGTTCATAATAGAAAAATATCCTTACTGCATTGTTGAATGTTTCAAATGGAAGAGTCCTTAAAACAATGGAATCAGAACAATCTTCAAATCATTTAATACCAACATATAAAAAGGTCATTTCTTATTTCAGGCTCTCTTTCTCTCCAACTGTCTTGTCCAGTTGACCTGCTACCTTGTATAACTAAGATCATAAACATTGCATTGTATACAAGTGGGTAGACTAATATTACTAGTACCTAAGTATGGCAAGTATTGCTTTAGAGACTACAGTATCTGTAGTCCTTAGGACTCATTTGTTTGAGATGCCTTGAATTCTGCATAGTCGATGAACCCGTCCCTGTTCCTGTCGTCGTCTCGTAAGATCTGGTCGATGGTGGATGTGATCTCCTCTTCGCTGAGCTGTACGCCGTCGTGGCCCTTGTCGTGGTCCTCGTCGTGGAAGTGCGTCATGGCGGACACCAGCTCAATGCCGTCCAGTCGGTTGTTCTTGTCGTAGTCGTGCTGGGTGAAGTAGTGGAACTGTAGCTCCTCTTCAGACATCTCGGCTGTAGACTTCCCGACTAAAGGGTCCAGGTGTTCCTTGATGTGACTACAGGGACAAAAATATACAGAATTTAATTATGTCACAGTTTGTTTACCTATTCTAAAGAACATTCTTTAATGGTCAGTTAAAGAATAAAGATCATTTCAAAGTTTTGAAAGTCAGGTATGTTTGATTTTTGCTGCGTCTAGGTTTCTTGACACAGCATTACATGCCGTAATAGGTGATTTAGTTGTTAGGCTATTAAGGCTAACGCTACACAAACATATGCACCCCTGTACAATATAAATGTCGATTGACCGGCATTCATTGCAGTAAACAAACTGTGACGTATTAATGTGATAGGTCCATTGGAACCTTTTGGCCTGGTGGTTAGAGTTCTATTCTTAGCGTCCCGGGAGCCAGGTGCATTTGTGTTTCTTCTGCCCCTGGTGTTTCAGATTCTAAGATTCGTGAAAAATTTTGAAAGGAAAGGGGGAGCAGTGCATTACAGTGGGGATTCAAGTGCTGGCAACTGCGTCATCTGACGGGTCTGTACCTTTTGGCCTAATGCTTAGTACATTGCCTTCATATGCTGGCTGCCGGGGTTCTGCAAGCATTCAATTCCTGGTGTCCCGGGAGCCATGGTAGACTGCTGAATTTAAACCTTTAATTTAAAGCAGCCGGCTACAATTAAAGGTGAATTAAAATGGCTAACTATGCCTCACAGAAAACTGCACAATTTTCTTATTCATTTGAGACTGAAACAAGGGAATTTGTGTAGCCTTTTCATACGAAGTTAGAATTATTATGATGTGAAGACTTACTCCAAATCTTGTACATGGTCTCTGCTGCGTAGTGGGTTTGGTGCCTCTCGCGGTTGTTGCCCGGTGGTGCCGGGATCAGGTAAGCTGCCCTGGTGGAAGGCGGGCTGAGCCCCGGGCTGGGCCGGCACGGCTGCCTGACCGTGGGCGGCACGTGAGGCCGGCTGCCCCGCCTGGCCTGGCTGGGCGTGCGCTGCCTGAGCACCTGGCGGGTGAGGAATGTCCGGCTGTAGTTGTTGCTGTTGCTGCTGCATCTGAACAGGGTCGCCCTGGCCCTGACATGCTGGTAAGATGAAGAAAGAACAAACTGCGACAAACACGAGTCCACACTGCATTGTTGTGGCTTGAAGTTAAACCCCTGGATCAAAAATGTCGTCTGTTGTGGGAGGGGGGCGCACCGGTCAGGCCGCTAGACGGGACACTCGAGACAGTTTAAAAGCTGGTTCAACGCTAATCCTTCTTCTGATTGAGCAAATTTTAGTTCTGCAACATAAGAGATAACCTGGGCCGTGAAAATTCACTTGGAAAGCTCAGTAAAATGTCCGGAAAAACTCGGACCAAAAGTCACACGGAAGTACACGTCTGGTTACGGCTTCATTTAAGTTGTCCTGAGTATGCAAATGAGGGCGTTCACATGTAAGACATTACACAGCGGTCCCACACGTATGCACCCCTAACTATTCTTGCACATCCTCACATATTCCCACTAATCCTTCCCTATCCTTACACATCCTCACACACCCTCTGCTATCCTTACACATCCTCTCCCATCCTCCTCTATCCTTACACATCCTCACACATCCTAACCAATCCTCCCCAATCCTTACACATCCTTAG